TAAATAAAAGAGATGGGCAATATGGCTCAAACATAATATGATGTTTTAGAGCATTCTGACTAACGATAAATTTCGTGATATAACCAAAAAAATAAAAAAACGAAACCATAGTTATTCATTTGACAAAATTAACTTAACACGTTGCTTTGCAGTCCATCCATCCATCCATCCATCCATTATCTTTACCCGTCTGTTCCATTTTGGGTCACGGGGGTCGCTGGTGCCCATGTCCAGCAAATACTGTGCGAGGGGCGGGGTACACCCTGGATGGGTCGCAAGTCCATCACAGGGACACATGGAGACAAACGAGACAAACAACCATTCACTCTCTCACTCACACCTAGGGACAATTTAGAGTTACCAATCAGCCTAACATGCTTGTTTTTGGTCTGTGGGAGGAAACCGAATGACCCGGAGAAAACCCACGCATGCACGGAGAGAACATGCAAACTCCACCCAGAAAGGCCCCTGGACCGTTGCTTTGCAGTATTATATAAAAACTAAAAAAACAAAGGTTAATTTTTAACTACTTTATTTAGTAAAGTATTCAGTCTCAAAGCATATAAAAAAATTTAAATGATCTTTCTGTTATTTAGATTGGAAAAGTCTGCACAAAATATAGAACAACAAAATCCACCACAAAAACTTGGTGTTGAGGATGACCAAGGATGAATCCAAAGAGTCCTGAAATGATGACAGAATGTTTATTCAGCTGGGCCCCTCTGAAAAGTCCATGGAATTCTTCTGTAGGAGGGGAGGAAAGGGAAGGGTAGAGCATCAGGTTTACAAAACTTCCAGGCGAATTAAGTTAAGGTGGCCAGTCAGGGAGCCGAGTTCAGGTAAACATGATTGTTTTGGGGACAGGCAGATCTTTAATGACATCTACCTTGAGTCTGTTGGTCCACTCGGTTCCAAAACGTCCAAGTTAAATGGCCACACCAGTAAACTGTGCCTGAGAGTATTCCCCAAAATCTGATCCATTTTGCCAAATACATTTGAGTCTGGGTGCTCGAGGCACGAACCAAGCCCTCATAAGGCAGACTCATGATGCAAGTGGGGTGCCCTACCACGTCCACAGAACTTGAGTGCACAGTCTACCGAACTTGCGCTCAACCCCCCCCCCCCCATCAAGTTAGCAGCGTGCTAGCTAAAAAGCTAAAGACAACATTTTCCCTCACACGCTGAACACTAACACTCACGTTGATTGGCTCGAAAATTGTCGAGACAAACAGCGCTCAGCTCAGATGTGTTTGCCCCCCCCCCCCCCCCCCCCC